TCTTCCGATCTATGAACGCGCAGAAAAGCGGTCTTACGCATGAGTTTTGCACGCTCTGAGTCAGATTCCAGCCATCTGATTGGCTATCTTAATTTTTGCGCGATCTGTGGGGAGTTCTGATCGCTAAAGCGATCAGAGGCTCGAACACAGGCTATCCGATTGGCTAATTCAAAACAATCCTGAATTCCCATTGGCTGGATTTTTTTTATCCATCATACCGTTCACTAGGCTTTATTAGTGCACGGAAAGGTCTACTTTGTGCTTGACCGCAAATTATTAAAGTTCAATGGGAAGATTTACTAACAGAAATTCTGAACTAATACTAGCCATGTCTATTAGTATTTACGAAACCGTAAAGGCTGCTTTATGGAGAATGATGATTGACAAAATGTCAAAGATATTGAAGCTTATTTAAACAAGCGAGTAACGGTGTACCGAAGCTTTCTATTAAAGATTTATTGAGCGTTGTGCATAACATAAGCAGCCTTCCTCGCACGAAATTGTGGTGCGGAATCTTACATCGGTACATCCTGAAGAGAGAAGACAAAAATCTTTTGTACTACGGCCTTAAGATATATACATTCTATTTTAACTAGATATAGCATTATAACTGTTGTATACTGGGGTGGATTGTGCGTCTGTACGCACATGCTACAATATCGGCGCAGGTACGCGTATAAGACGTATAATAATACGAGATGAAATTTACATATAATATTTAATTTCCATCAATTTACTTAAATACTGCTGCTTAATACAGGCAGTTTCAGTGTGTTTATACTTTGTTTATGTTTCTTGTGACATGTGGACTTTATATATTAATCAGATAGCTACTTAATAACACTGACTGTATTATTTATACCTATTTTAAACTACAAGAACACGACAATGTAGCATGGCTTTGTGTAATACGAATATACGATCTCCACAATATGCGGTATACAAGTAAAATGGATCATAAAAAAGTTTCCTGGTCGCGCATCTAGCATTTTTAATAAAATGGATCATGTTGCCATTGTGAATAGTTATTCATGGCGCATGTTTCTGCCAAGAATGAAACTCGAGGAGCAGTGAATTAAACGTGGAAATTCTCTTCCTGCTTCAAATCAATCAAATATTTTAGACTGCATCACTCATATTGCAATCTAGTGTCAATCTATTTCTCGATGAGAATTGGATAGCTGTTTGACATTTGGCAAAAAAGCAATTTTTTAAGTTACATTTTTTTGTAAACAGAACACAAATAAAAAATATTAATTTGCTTGGCAACCCCCCCCCCCCCGTCAAAAGTACCCCCCTCCCCCAGTCAAAAGTAGCCCCTTCCCCCAATGTCCAGCAATGAAATTTTTTACTAACGTACGAAAAATCCTAGATCCGCCCCTGAATAAGATAAAAAGAAATTGCAGATCATTATTGTAATTTCTGTGTATGGTGATTCGTTTCAAGTTGTTCTTCATGCAGATATCATAGACCTTATTCACAAATCGCAAGCGGGGCCTCGTATCCTAGGAAACGGGCATAAACGCGGGAAAACAAGCGAAAGCTGCTTGGCAAGCCAAATTCAGATGCTATTGTGTCGAATTTAACTGCTTGTTTTTTGTTGCTCATCTCGATTAAACGATTTTTGTGTGTATTTTAAGATTTTGTGCTCACAAAGAAAGCTGTAAACGAGTATAACATAAAAACTACCGGTTTTTCTCCCGTTTTTTTGTGAAAATGTAAAAATATGACAACGTTGCGATCCAGTAGCGAAAAACAGTATTTTACCGAGATTTTAACGTCAATATATAGGTTAGTTCGTAAAAATCAAAACAACTTTACTGCCATAGTCGGAAGTAAAATAGGTTTTTGTCAATTTTCTTGCTTTTTTCCCCTTTCCTGAGATACGAGGCCCCGATTGCGATTTATTCATTATTGCGGTCTATGCGCATGCTCAAATAAGGCTAACTGCAATTGCATGCAATATAGCTATAACTTCAAACGATACTTCTGTCCAAAAATTCCCTGATTCACATAATTATTTTGTTTACTTTAGATGGTGAAGAAGAGGAGGAACAATTAAACCAGGTAAATTAAGGCTATAGTCAAGCATCAGGACCGGATTTTAGTACGAACTCATCTGGCAGAAATATGGTTGCCAAAATTTACACAGAAGAAAAACATTTTTTTCTAGATCTTTAAAGATATTCTATAATTTGATGTTGCATTTCGAGGAGAAGGGGCAAAACTGTCATATTTATTATTGCATGAAAAAGTTAGAACTTGTTTAATTTTCTCTTTTATATAATTATAAGTAAATAATACTATCTTAGAAACACATTGTAATATAAAGACATTCGATCGCTCAAGATGGTTGACAATAACAAGACAGACATTAATTATTCAAACATAATCACCCGGGTGGGCAGAGTATGCTTATGCTAGTTATTATATCACATCTTTCCTTTTTAAATAATAGCCTAAATTCTAAATAAATTATTAAATTTTAAGTTGCTAAGACAAAATGTTAAATGTTCTAGATAAAGCAAAGTTTGAATATAAACCGTAGGAATATAACTTCATTATGAAAATAACTATGAATTATGAAAATAACTAAAATTAATGTCAAATAGTGTTTCTAACTTTACCATCATTAATCGTTTGGGTTTCACCACTAATCGACTACTTCTGGTAACGTACGAGCTGGTGGTCTTGCTAGTGGAGAAATTTCTGGTAAGGGTAAGGGTAACAGTAACGGTAAGGTATCTGGATTCACGGTCGATGAAGAAGTGGAGTGGTTGGAACCAACGGACGACGGAACGGCATTCTCGAGAGATGATATTTTTTTTCAACTGCTGGAGCAATGGTTTGGACGTCGCTGTCAGATTCAACAGCTGGACAAACTCGCATACGCAAATGCTGTAGATTGCGGCGATACTTTCTTCCATCGTCGGTTTGCACCCCATGGTGATGCTTTACTACCGTCGCTGGTTTCCATTCTCTGGAGTACATCCATAGTTTTAACCGGACTTTAGCTCCAGGCTGAAGTTCATTCACCTCCTTACTTGTATGCTTGTCGTGGTACTTCTTCTTGTCTTCTTTAGTGTTCATTAAATATTTAGAAATACGTTGTGAGCTTTTGTTAGCTGGTTGAAGTGAACTTTCCATCACAGGCAGATCGTTTCGCAGTCGACGTCCCATAAGTAGTTGGGCAGGAGACAGTTTGATATTAGGTAACGGCATTGTTCGGTAGTGATGTAGGGTCAATTACTTATCATTGCTCTTTCGCCACAAATTCTTAGTAGTTTGGATGACTCATCCTGCTTCTCCATATGCTCCTGGGAAGTGTGGTGACTGGTGAGTTGGTGGTATGTTTAAACTATATTCTTTTGCAAATTCTTGGAGCTTGCGACTGTTGTATTGGGGCCCATATAATCAGAAATGACCTCGGCTTGAATTCAATGGACATCATGTGTGTTCGCATGATGTACACACTCGCCACATTGGTAACCATTCCTTCAATATGCACATACATGCCCGGCCAAAATAGTACATATCTGGCTCTTTGTCTACATTTGTTTATTCCCAGATGATTCTTGTGGATTTCACGAAGCAGATCAGATCGAACAGCTCTTGGCACGATTAGGCGCGTTCCTTTCGAGAGCGACACACCTGCTGTTGCGACTTCATCTCTGAAGGTCCAGTAAGGTGGCTTCGACGTCACTCACGTGTTTTGGTCTCCTTCTGGAATTCCTCATGTCGCTCGTCGGAAACTGCAATAACAATATGAATTTCCTGGAATTTTTCGTAATTTCCCTGTTTGGAATTTGGTAAAGATGCTCGACTCAGAAAATCAGCCAATATTTGTTTACAGCCAGGAATATAACGTATCTCCACGTCGTATCCACGCACGTTAAGAATCATCTGAAGCCTCAACGTAACCTGCGATAACGGTTTGCTGCTGATTGCTTGTAGTGATTCATGGTCTGTCTCGACAACCACACATATACAGTATGTACTGATGGAACGCACGACAAGCGAAGACTACTGCAACCATTTCGACTTCGATGGCGGCATATCTGCTCTCTGTATCCGTAAGAGCCCGAGACGCACAACACAAAAATAACACTGCTCCTAATTCTCTGCTACTTGCATCACACTGGGTATATTGTTACCGGTTTGGTAACATCATAATATACTGTGACTGCTGATTGCGAGGCAAGTTCCTTGATTTTATCAAAGCTTGTTTGCTGTGGTTGATCCCAGTGGAATAGTGCGTTGGGTTTATCAAGCTTCCTCAGCGGTGCATCTACATTGGATAGTCCAGGAATATACCGACTTCC